AGATGATGAAAAATCAAGCTGCAACTTTCTTGGATGTTACGGAGTTCACGATTGTCGCAAACTCGGGTCCCTGCACAACAAATTGCATCAGAAATGTGCTTAGGTATATTTGATGGCAGGTGTTTCGGGTGAGAAGAAGTATATTTACCTTCAAGGATGCACCCCCAACTAGGAAACCATCAATATCTTCTTGTTTTGCAAGCTCGGCGCAATTGCCACCATTTACAGATCCTGAACAACAGAGATCCCCCTTAAGAAGATCAGCCATCCAGAAGTGATGTTCTAAAAAAGTCAATAAGTGAGGCATTGAAAGAGGGGTATGCAAAATGCTTTCACCTCCATAAATAATACGGGTTTTGGAAGCAACTTCGTCCGAGACGTTCTTTTTAAGCCAATCACGGAGAGCAGCATGAACTTCTTGAGCCTGTTGTGGTGAGGCCACTTTGCCAGTTCCAATAGCCCAAACAGGCTCATATGCTATAACTATATTGTCCCAGCTAGGCACTGCATCTGTAGAGTAATAGCATTAACAGATGGTATTAGCTGCGCATCCGCATCATCATGTTGTACTATTGTGTGAAACAAACATCAAAATAATAACCTGCATAGGCTTTCAACTGCGTGAAACAAACATCAAAAGTTTTCCCAGCTTCTCTATCTTCCAATAGTTCACCGATACAAGCAATCACTCCTAGGCCCTCATTCAAGGCATAAGCAGCTTTCTTCCCTATAAACTGAAATTTTAACAAAAACATGACATTTCAGTTCTAAGTGGCATCCATCTAGTTAATAACAATAGGTGTGAAAGAGGTTTAGGCTCTCACCAGATCATCTTCACCGATAACATGTCTCCTCTCAGAATGCCCAAGAATAACCCACTTCGCCCCGATGTCTTTCAACTGCTCCACACTGTAAAAGAGGTAGTAAGACATTATTTAACAGTTTGCTGGTACAACAAGCAGAGCCTGCCATCCAAGACAATAGCATGAGCAAAATAAATCATTAAGATACTTAAGTATATGGCCTGTGTTAAATTGATCTGTTAATTTAAGTGAAAGTAGCTTATGTTAATATTTCATGAACAATGTAGGTCCACAGTCAAGTGGGAGAAAAGCAAAGTAACTACTTCATGCTTCGAAAAATTGATTGAATATCTCCATTTTTAAGTTAAAGTTGGAGCTCAAAACTCTATTAAATAGAGATCATGAGAGGACATGCTGATTCTACTAAGCACCACAACTATAGCAGGTACCAAGGATTTAGCAATGAGATATCATATTTTTTCTTCAGATGAACCAGCAAAACTTGAAGACACACAGAAAACACAAAGGACACAGTGTGGAAGTGTGACTTGTAGAGACAAGTCACTCATAACTTGGAGCAACAGAAGTAGCTGACCTGATTTCTCCTGTGAAAGCCCCACCTTTGCTGACCCAAGAGTTCTGAGCAGATATCTCAATTTTATCTGTCAATGAAGACTTCACCTGATCGATGTACACGAATGGAGGTGCCACAACAACATCTGCACAAACAATAAACGGAAGACATGAAATATGAATAACTTGACAAGCGTGTTGTAGTCACAAGAAGAGAAGTCAATTTGGCAGGCAAAGCCTACAGCTAGACACCACAGCCACACCTAATATTGGTATCAATGATGAACATCAACCGAAGTTCAAAGATATAGAAACTATCTTACCAACATCAGACTCCAATTTTGCATCGTTCAAGTCCGAGACCAGCTTAGTGATGGACTCTTTTGTTCCATTCTAAGTACACAGAAAAGATTTTGAAAAGGTGAATCAGCACAAACATTAAAAAAAATGGCAGCAGATAACACCTAACCAATAGAAACAGCACCCTAACAAGGTAAAAGAACCAATTGCACGATTCAACACCTTGTAGGACCTATTCACAGGGTAAAATGAAGAATGCATAGCAGTACTACCACAAGTTAGACAGCCAGCATTGCCCCACAATTTAGCAGCCACCAGCGAGTCAATACCATTACCATCGGCAAACCTAACCTTAAGTTTTTCATCCAATTCCTCTGTCCTTTCATCACAGATTCACAGGGTATATGATGAGAATGAGTAAGACATAAGAACAAGTAGGGGAAATAGGGACCAAATCATTCTCCTTCTACTCTGTCCAAATAACTTAAAGAACCACATTCTGTTATCATACATCAAATCCTCAATCAATCTTCTTCCTTACAAATCACAGCACAAGTATTGTTCCAATACAATCAATAGTTGCAGCAAAGAAATCCCAGAAGCAATCAAACAGAATGAAAACAACTTACACACTTCCAGTTCCCTCCAACGAAGAACTGCAAACACAGAGACGAAAGGAAAACAAAACAAATTAGTCAATGCGCAGATGGAAACGCACGAATGCGCACACGCACAAAAATAAAAAAGACCAACGAAAAGTGAAACAAGATCTAGGAAGGCCAGAAAGGACAAACCTTTCCGGTTCCTGCCATGGCAACGACGGCTCTGCAAGGTCTACGAGTTGAGAGCGAAGGCAAGCGGAGCTGGGAATCGAAGAGGTGGAGCGAGTTGGAAGAAGGGTTTTCGAGCTTGGGGCAGGACGATCGGCGGAGACCGGAGAAGTTAGGTGGGGAGTAAAGGGTGGCGGCGGATTTGGAGCCGGCGGCAGAGAGTGAAGTCGAGAGCATCGCCATGGGTGATGAAGAAGAAAGCTTGGAGATTTTTTTGTATCTGGTTCAGGTTTGGCGAATGGGCTCCCACAAGCCACAACAACTACAAACTCCTCGCTTACTGGCGAATGATAAGTATTTAGTACTCTAGGCGGTGGCACGGCATTCACTAAAACTATGACAGTGTAAGACCTCAAAAAAAAAAAAAAAAACTTCAAAATGCTATCGTAGTTCCCGTCCTTATATTCTTTCCTTGTTTTGCTTTTTTCTCCAGTTGTTTCTGTGGCTAAATACTCCTAGTCCTTGGCGTACTGTGCATAAGAACATAACCAAAATATACTTCGGGGTCGTTTGGAAGTTACGATTGTTAAATAGATATATTGTTGAGAATACATGTATAATATTATATATGTATTGTCGAATTTGATGCATTGTAGAATACAACGTTTGGTATGTGTGATTGTGTATGTCGCATCAGCTAAAAGCTGAGACAAAACAATCTCAACTCAATTATCTCAACAATCACAACTAGGGGTCGTTTGGAGGTTGAGATTTGAAGTGAGGTATTTAGCAAATACATGTAATGATAAGATTAAGTCGTTTTTTTGATTCACTTTGAGTTAGAATGCATGCATTACCTTTTTGTTGGGCCCACCTACAATCACTCAAAATGAATGATTATAAATCTCTACTAAAAGGTGAGATTGTTAACGAGGGATTGTCTACCCTACTTTTTGGGGTCGTTTGGAAATTGTGATTCTTCAAATTGATGTATTAGGTCAATTAGTGTATTATCATTTGATGTATTGATTCAATGCATGTATTAGGAAAATACTTTGTTTGGAAGAGCAATGATGAAACAAAAAGTAGGTGCATGCATTCTAACTCAAAGTGAACCAAAAAAACGACTTAATCTTATCATTACATGTATTTGCTAAATACCTCACTTCAAACAAAGTATTTTCCTAATACATGCATTGAATCAATACATCAAATAATAATACACTAATTGACCTAATACATCAATTTGAAGAATCACAACTTCCAAACGACCCCTAAAAGTTGAGATATAACAATCACTCAAAATGAGTGATAGTTTCTGTCATATCACAGAAACAATCCATGTATTGTTTCTGCTAGAAAAACAAAACAAAAAACGATGCATTGTAAACAATACATGCATAATGACAATCTCAACAAAACTATCGCAACTTCCAAACGACCCCATCATTTCCTTCAATTGTAGAGTTACATTCATACAATCCGTTAAAATCTAAAGTATACCACAATAATATCGTAATTGTTTTTTTTTTCTCGTTCCGTGTATGATGTAATTAGAGGTGGCAATTAGGATCCAAATCCATGAATCCAATCCAATCCATCCACCTTATTATCCACTTAATCCAATCCATTTAAATCCAATCCATTTGATCCAAATCCAATTGGATTGGTGGATTCATGGATCAATCCATGAATCCAAATGGCAAATTACGATTTGGTACCTATATTTTTTATATTTTACATTTTGGTACCTAAAATTTATATTTTTATACGAAAAATATCATTGGAAAATTACATTTTGGTACCTAAAATTTTTCATTATGGCATTTTAGTACCTAAATTTTACAAAATTTACATGTTGGTCCAAGCCTTGGTTGTCATTTGGATTCATGGATCAATCCACCAATCCATTGGATCCAATCCATGAATCCACCAATCCATTGGATCCAATCCATTTGATCCATGGATACACCAATCCAATCCACGAATCCACGAATCCGATCCAATTGCCACCTCTAGATGTAATTTTCTAATTCGTTAAACCGATTGAGAAGTAAGTATTGTATTTACATCAATTTTATTTTCGGACGGTAAAATTCATCAAACTCGTGTCAAATTTTCTATATAAACAAACTTTGAGGTCAATTGAAGCCACGAATGTAATTGGATATTGGCGGGACAGTGGTTGGTGCCTGGTGGGTGGAGTCGGTGGCATTGGACTGTTAACCAAGAAGCACATAAGGAACTTCGCTACTTTGGCTTATGATAGGGACTTGTGTTGTGTATTGTACGAATGCTAATATACGAAGATAATTCAATATTTTTATTTTTTTACAGTTAGGTTATCTATTATCGATAACAATGACTAATCTCTAGTTATAAATTATCACACAAAACAATAAATGACGGCTCTACATAATTGTCTGATCTTCTTAGGTTGGTTGGATTTTTGTCAACAAATTCGTTAAGACACAATGATGTCATGGCAGAAATCTGTTCTTCCCAGATTACATTCCTATCTGAAAATCTCTGAATTTGACAACCAATTCCATCCATTGAAAATCATGGACAAAAATAACTTCAGGGCCGGAGCTCGCATTGGAAGCGGATTCGGCCCAAATACGGAAGGGGCGAAGCAGGCCGGCAAATGTGGGCTTCAGTCGGCCCAGCCCGTTTGTGGAAGCCTGCTCTATCCGTCAAATCGCGAACCGACGTTGAACTAGGTGGCGGCGGTTTTTACCACATTCTTCATCGTCCCCCCTGCTTTGTTACGGAGAGCAGCGAGGCTCCTTCTTCACCGCCGATAGTCAGAGATGTTGTCTCCGACCAAAGGTAAGAAACAAGACGTCTGGGGAGAGAAAACAAAAGAGGTGACCGGAAAATGGCGGGCATGGGGGATGGGTACGTGGGAACGGCGCAGGACTCCGTCGGCTGGAGAAGCAGCGAGAAGCTCAGCGCCGGAAAATCGAGGAGATGAAGACAAAGTCCGCCTCTGACAAAGGCGGGCCTGGACTTCTCGTCTTCTCCAGTTTGGGTCTAGTACATCGGAGGTCTCTGTTCATTCCTTCCCGTTTCAGCTTAATCAAATTCCCGATGAATGTTGCTTTTGTCCAGATTCTGGAGACTGCGTTTAAGAAAGAAACTGTGGAGTTAGTTACAAGGGAGCAGTATGTCGAGAAGGTGATGAATTTTTTGTAATTTGTTGTTTTGGTTTCCGCCCTTTATATTTTCGAAAGGGAATCAATTGACGTCGTGGGGTTGGATTTCAGAGTGTTACTATTCAGAATAAGCTTGAAGAAGATGAGAAGGAGAAGCTGCAAAAGCTGCGGCAAGAGTGAGTTTGGTTCTTGCATTGTGAAGTTTTCTCTGCCAGGTTTGGGCTGCTTATCCTCCGCCTGAAAGTGGGTTCTTTAATGTGTTGTGTTTCCAGGGAGGAGGAAGCTCAGCTAGCCAAGCGCAAGAAGAGGAAGATTAAAGGGAATTCAAAGCTTTCTTTTTCTGATGATTTTGAGGATGGAATGGAAGATGAAGATGGTGGAATCGGTAAATGATCTTGCTTTAAATTCGAATCCTAGAACAAAAACTATTTTAGGCTTTGGAGTTTGAATAATTTTCTGTGATTGTATTAATTCTTCTATTTCCTTGTTGTAATGTGAGTATGTGACTGTGTGTTCCCTTTGATGCTGGGAGTTATTTGAGGAATTTTTAAGCTTTCAGTAGAAAAGTTGTTTGAGATGCATTACGTCAGAATTGAGCTCTCAAAATTGATAGAGTGTGATAGAAATAGTAAGATTTGTGCCATTGCCGTTTGAACATTGGCTTGTCTATTGTCTTGTCAGCAGAAGATCCTGTTCCAAATAAGTTGACTCGTGGGAAATTTGGCAAAGATCCCACTGTAGAAACAAGTTTCTTGTCTGACAGGTATGATGTCTTTCTTTCTGGATAATGGCACCATGCTTAGTTGAGCATGGACTTGGACTAACCATACACGTAGGGGGGTTGAGGATGCTGATAAAGTGAGAGGGAGGCTGAGGAGCAAGCTGAACGTGAAAGGTTGCGGAAACAAATGGGTTCGTGAGCAGGAGCAGATTAAAAGTATGTTTGATAGTTCTGTAATATTTATGTTGATCCCATTGTGGTCTCACCTCATTCTTTTTCTGATGAACCGTGATATCTGATGAGTTCTGGTGATGAATTTGTGACTTCTGATATTTCAGATGAGGCCCTTCAAATTACTTACAGTTACTGGGATGGAACGGGCCACCGCAGGGTGATCCAGGTTAATCATTATTCAGATTAAATTCAACCTTCATTTTACTATTCGTAACATGTTCTAATATTTAATAAACCTGGAGTAGTTATTGATTTTACATACTCTTTCCGCCCTGCAGGCGCGAAAAGGTGATAGCATTGGGGAGTTTCTGCGGTCAGTTCAACAGCAACTGGCACCTGAGTTCAGAGAAATCAGAACAACTTCTGTTGAGAACTTGCTCTATGTGAAAGAGGATCTTATCATTCCTCATGTAAGATGCTAAAGAGTTTCTGGTTTATACTTCTGTTCTTTCATTTCTCTATATAGATTATCTGATGATTTCTCTTTGCATTCTTGTAACGCTACAGCAACACAGCTTCTATGAGCTCATAGTCAACAAAGCGAGAGGAAAAAGTGGACCGGTAACGGTAACATTCTGGATCCTTGAACTTGGTGCATGTTCTTCGTTATTGTTTAATTTGTCAAGTTACCTAGATGGGTCCTTGAACTTGGTTCTGTTATTTGGCATGTTTATCTTGTCAAGTTTCCTAGATTGGCATAGTGTAGCAGAAGAATGCTTTTGGTACTCGGATGCTTTTCTAGGGTATCTACTCTGGTAATTCTGAGTTGTGTTTCAGTTTAGTCGCTCCAAGTGGAAGTTAAGGACTTCCTTTGTCCTATAGGAAACTAGCTCTCTTTAATTTCCCCGCTTTTGAAGGTGGTGCCTGTTGAAAATTAGTAATGGTGTACTGGTAGTATCAACAGTAATCTAACCTTAGTGCAGAAGTATATAATTTTGGTTGTAAACGAAATCCTTCTGAGCTTACCGGATTCCTTTTTCTATGGTATCACTCTCTGAATCTAGTCATACTCAGTCTTGACTACAAGTCTGCATTCTGTTCGTATGGTTTGACAGAATATTGAATCTTAGCTCTAAACAATCTGTATTCTGAAATTTGACTATTGTCATCTGCTTTTCTCAGGTTTAGCGGTGTAATTTGCTACAATCAGATGCCCACTTCTAAATTCTCACTTGTGATTTCTTCTTGCAGCTTTTCCACTTTGATGTGCACGAGGATGTGTGTACAACTGCTGATGCAACCATAGAGAAGGATGAGGTATACTCTTTATGGATTTTGGCTTCGTGCGTTCTGTATCCCGAGACAATTCCCACTCAAACAAGCAACACATTTTTGGTGCTTTCTAACAGTCCCATGCTGGTAAAGTGGCTGAGAGGCATTGGTACGAGAAGAACAAACGTATATTCCCTGCATCAAGATGGGAGGTCTGCATCTTCTATTTTGTGTTGTGTGGAAGGAGAAATCGAAGTAATCAAATACCAAACGATTAAAAACAACCCGATCTTTTTCCTGAGTGTTTCCGTTTGTTTTTATATCTAGTGTTTGGGCTAGCATCTGTTGTGACCTAAAGAGTGTAATTTGCAAATTGGTATTCCACTGTGAATTTCTCTTGCGTGCTCTTAGAATCCCTTTAGTAGAGCGGCGATTAGGCCGAGCGAGTGCTAGTATTGTGGCTGGCCAGGAAGGCCGAGGAGAAGAGCATGGTGAAGACGGAGTTGAGATGGAGGGGGGATTGAGCCAACTTAGGGGTCAGAGTCGAAACCTGTTGGAGCCAGCAATAATCTTGCCTAGTTCATTCCTTGGACTTAAAATTGGAATTGTACACGGTTTTTGTGAGTAGGGGGCGGAATTATTCGAGTCGAACTGAGTTTTTGTCTAACTTTGAGCTTTTTTGTTTGATAATAAACAAGTTGAGCTTGAGGACACATTATAAATTAAATATTCTTAATCTTTATATGTCATGTATGATACATTTGATTGATGTCGTGTATCACACATCAAATGATATATTTATATACTTTGTTGAGGACACATTATTTAGTTTTGATGTTATTTCATAGTAATTAATAGATGCAATGTTTCTCTTGTTAATTGTAAAAATGCGATATATTTGTTCACATACCCGAAGTCGTAAACATCATATGGGATGAGACATATAATCTAACAAATTTCTGGACTAAACAAGGCAACTCACAAAAAAGATATTGATTTGATCGTAAGTAGATAATCGAACTGGCTCGCTAGCAACAATGTCAAGACATCTCATAAGCTCAACACGAATTAACTCACGAGTTGAACTCAACAAACCATCGAGTCGAGGTGATTCGTGGGCCTCACGAACTAAGCAAACTTTGCCTCTAACTCAACTTATTAGTAAGCAAGTCCAGTTAGCTCTTTTCGAACTGAATGTTGAGTCGCTCGTGAACATACCCGCTTATTTTCAGCCTCTCTTGCAAGAGCTATGTGCATCAGTGCATGTGCACTAAATGATAGTCTGCAATACGACGGCGTAAGATGCCTGGAAATAAAAAAAGTGGAAACTGAAACAAAATCCACTCGCCGTGCTGGAGCGTGGAGAGATAGAGTTTGATTTAATTGGTCAGCTAGCTCCCAGCCACGTCATTTCGCGTCTCATTTGGATTGTCCACAAGCCGCAGAAGTAGTACACACTGCAGCCAGCGATCGGAGAGAAGAGCCCCCAACGACCAAACAGAGCCCCCAACCTCTCTCTCTAATCTTCGTCTTCTTCCTCGACTCGCAGAGTTCTGAATCTGCTAATTCCACCATGAAGAGTTTTAGGGTTTTCTTCCTCGCTCTCCTCCTCCTCGCCGCTCCACTCCTCAAAGGTTTGCGCAGCCTCTCACTCTCTCGCTATCTATACTTCTAGATCTAGATCCCCCTCACACTTGTGGACTCCTTGAATGTATCGAACTGAATGTTCTCTACTACTGGTCAATCCCTCGTATTTGATCCGTGCAATTGAGATCTGATTTCCCTTATTTACTTAGCTCGAGGGTTTTGGATTGGGGATTTCTTCATGTCTTGGAATCGATTGGACTTGTGTCTGGGTGATCGGATTTATCTGTGCTATGTGGTTTTCGTCTCAGTGCTTGCTTCGATTTATTCACATGTAAACTTTCAGTATTGGGTGCTTGTCGAATTCTGATTGCTTCAGTTAATAGTGCTGCAGCTTGCGTGGCTTGCCGTTTTCTTCATTTTATGTATATACATGTGCCCCTTGGTCAAGATTGTTGCTTGATTTTGCAACATCTGACGGTCTGGTTCCGTTGTTCATTTCTTTTCCTCGCCTGTCTCGTAGTTGCTAGGTCTGATTCGGAGGCTGAAGGAGTGGACGCAGCTGAGTCAGTTCAGCCCACTGAAGAGGCTACTGATCTTGGGATTGTTGGTTCTGAAGCTGATGCCCAAGATTTTGGTGATGAGAATTTCAATCCAGCTCCCGGGGTTGATACTATTTGTGTTTTCCCCAAAAACAGTGCTAAAAGTAAGAAGAATTCACATTGTCTCCTTTTTTTTTGCATGTCGCTTCCTGTGCCCTTGTGTTATTTTAGAGTTTTTATTGCATTTCTTGCACTTTGGAGGCGTTCTTATGAACTTTGCTCTGTTTTGTATTCGTCATTTCAACAGTTATACCTGCCGGACTGGAGTCTGAGCTACTTGTTGGAGTGAAAAATGATGGTATAGAGTTTGCTGCCTTATTTCCTGTTCAACCGCCCATTTGCAGGGTTGTCCATCTGGATAACTGCTTGCACATACAAATTCAAACTTTTAGCCCTTTTTCTCATTGTTTTTTATTGAAATGCAGGAGAATCTAGCATTAACGTCATTGCAATTAAGGCCAGTGTTCATCTTCCATTTGATCACAGTCTTCTTGTTCAGAATCTCACTGCCCAGGTAATTATGGAAGTTTTGGTTTAATTGGGACGTAGTCTGTCAAGTTTTGTCATCTATGTATTATTAATATTGGGTGGATGTCCTGTCTCGGATTCAAGATTATCATTCATTTAGATTTGATCTTGATGTAAGACATATATCGGTGTACATTGTGATCTCTCTTAGTCATCCTCTGTATGTGTTTTTTTTTTTTTTTTTTTTTTGCTTTGAAGGGTCAATGTTCAATTGGGTTTCAAAATGACATTGTGGTTAATGAAAATGAGGATGATGATCTATGTAGATAATTGCTTGATGAGGGATAGATGCATCTCCCAGAATTTAGAAACTAAATGCTTCCATGTCATACGTGAGGGGGCAGATCTATTTTTCGACTTTCCTGTTGTAATCCTTTTTCGAGGCACATCCGACCTTTAGCTTTCTGTTCATGGTATTTATGATGTGGTTTATTGAATGGTCTGCCTTTTCTTTTACAAGATTGATTAGAATTTCATTAATATAAACTTTGTGTCTGGTGTTACATGTTAGGCCTTCAACAATGCAACTGTCCCAGCTGCAGGACAGGCTACCTTCCCGTATATTTTCGCAGTGAGCAAGTTTCTTCAGGTGAATGCATTATATTGCTATTTCTTGGCTGCCGATTCTAGGTTCTGAAGGGACGAGCATTTTATCTTGTATCCTATCCTTATGGCTGTGTGGACCATTGTTTGGCATTAGATTTTTACATATTTAATCCATGTACGCAGGCTGGTACCTTTGATCTAGTTGGCACTATCATTTATGAAATAGATCAGCAGGCTTACCAGAGCACATTTTACAATGGCACTGTCGAAGTTGTTGAATCTGGTGGTTTCCTCAGCGTGGAGTCCGTGTTCCTGATCTGTCTTGGGAGTGCACTCCTCGTCCTCTTTGGTTTGTGGATTCATGGTCAAATTCTGAACCTCTCTAAGGTAAAAAAAAAAAATCCATGATGTTATTTGCGTTTCCTGTTATGTCTAATCATTTAAAACGTTCTCATTATATCTGTTCACCTTGTCAATAAAGCAGTTGTTTTTACTTGTTTAACTGGTGTACTTGGGATGATGGATAAACATGAATCTTAAGACCAATGCAGTCAAAAGCGCGATTCTACTTAGAAGCGGAAAAGGGGTAAAATCGTAAAGCGTAGAATCAAAGAGTAAAAGCGTAAGTTTTTGACGCATATTGTAAAATAACTAAAAATCTATTAAGTAGGACATATACTATGTAAAATATGAATGCACAGAATTTAGATAAGTTAATAAATACATGCAATTCATGCCTAAAGTAGAGCAACTTATACAATCTTAATAATAAGTTCGTAAACATAAATTTAACAATAAGCCACTTTTTCATCTATGCTAATGAATTCGAGAAGAGGCTAGCTGGTGAATTATTTCTCTATTGAAGTTGAGAATGCATCCAAGTACCTGGTATGTATCTTTTATCTCAAATGCATCATATTGTTGGTGATTTACTTCTAAAATATACTTTTCATAATTAATTTCATTAAAAGAATACTCATTTAGTGAACTAAAAGCGTAAAAACGTAAAGCGTTTTGGTGAACTAGAAGCGTAAAAGCGTAAGCTTTTAAGTTTTAAAGCGCAATTTAGTCCGATTTTATACACTTAAGTTTTAATATAGAAACGAAAGCGTTTTGGTGACCTAAAAGCGTAAAATCGTAAGTTTTTAAGTTTTAAAACGCGATTTTGACTGCATTGCTTAAGACGGCTAATCTAATTCCTTGCTTGTGATCATTGATCATAAATTGTACCGAATGAAGTAGATTCCCTAGCTGGTCATTGCATCCAGTTAATTGATATAGAATTTGTGAAGGTGTAGAAAGTTAAACTGTTCTGAGAATTTCAGATGAAAGTACTTTTCTTATGGTCCTGACTCGTCGATGTTTTTACTGATATATCTTACATATTTCTATACACTTGGGAAACTAATGCTGGTTTTCCCTTGTATAGAAAACTAAGAGGTCCCCCAAGGTGGAAGTTGGTACTGGAACTAGAGATGCTTCAATGGACGAATGGCTACAGGTAACTGGATTTTTCGACCGTCTTACTGTATCTCTTTCGAGTTTAGTTGTCTCCATGACTTTGCCTGTTGCTGACAATTGCTCTCTTTTTCCCCCAATCTGTTGACCTCCAGGGCACTGCTTACACTCAGTCCAACAAACAAAAGAAGAAGAAATAGACACCGGTTTCGGTCGCAGCACAAGAGGAAGGAAGGGAGTGTAGTAAAATGCAGACCCTTGCAACTCAAAGTTTAGCATTTGAAGATGCTTCTGGAGAGGAGAACCCACGAGCTGCACGAACTAGTTGTGAAACTTAGGCTAGTATAGAACTGCCTAGTTGTTGTAGCATGTGGAGGGTGCGGAAAAATGGAGCTTTAGGATGAACCTTTTCTTTTCTTCCTACTTTTTCTGGACAATTTTTTTTTATAGCGGAGTGAATCCTTGAAGAGAACTAACTGTGGTTTTGAGGTAGGCAGGATATAAATTTTACTGAAAGTTTGAAGAATTTTCCTCTCAAAATTGCTTCATTCTCCTCTTCAGTTCCTCATGTTTAGTCGTCTCACCAGTTCCAAATGGGACTGAACATCAAAATTGCCACCTCTATCCAAAGGCGACACAAAAGCATTAGGTTACCAATGTGTAAAGAATGGGTTAATGCCATGTTTGGTCACTGTGACTAAATTTATTTAGTCACTAGAAAAACTTAATATCAAATTTAGTCATTACAATCACTAAAATAGGTCATATTGAGTCACTCTCCGTTAGTCTCCGTCCAACTCCGTTAGTGGAGTCTGTTATGTGCTGACGTGGCTAACGGATGCGCCTAATCAGCGCCATTTTGACCCAAAAATCATCAGACCCGACCCGCCACGTCAATTTCACCCGCCATGTCATACACCAACCCAACCATTAACCCAACCCGACCTAAAACCAAACCCTAACCCACCTAACAAAACAAAATTGGAAAATCATCTGGTTAGTGGCCATTTTCAGACCAAAACCCTTCTCCTTCCTCGCAAACCTACTCGAGATACATCAAACAACTAGCTTAAGTATAGACCATCTACAGCTGTAATAATGTAAGGTTGTGCAAAGAGAGGATCAAACGCACATACCCCTTTCCATAATCGATTCCCCTTTTCCAGAGTTTATAGACTAGCTTACAACCATAAAAGCAAAGAAACCACTTACATTTGTCGTCGGGGAAGAAGAGAGCCGGAGCGCGAGGGGGGAAACTGACGCTGGCGCAATGGGGGAATCGATTTAGGGTTTTGACCAGGGCTGTCGGCGCGCGATGGGGAAAGCTGACGCCGGCGCGCGATGGGTGAAGCTGATGCCGGCGCGCGATGGGTGAAGCTGATGACGGCACGCGCTGGGGGAAGACGACAACAGCGCACGACGAAGGTGGATTTGAGGGTTTCGTCTTCTGCTACGATGGGGGGAATTGACGGCGCGCGACGACGGAGAAGAAGAAATGCAAAATGGAAGGAGGATCTGGGACAAGGGGGTAGCGTGGAGCTCTTCATCTCTCCCTGGAAATCGATTGAAAATGGTTGAACCTAGAGGAAGGAGCAGTTTTGCGAGGAAGGAGAAGGGTTTTGGTTCGAAAATGGCCACTAACCAGAAGATTTTCCATTTTGTTTTGTTAGGTGGGTTAGAGTTTTGTTTTGGATCGGGTTGGGTTAATGGTTGGGTTGGTGTATGACATGGCGGGTGAAACTGATGTGGGGGGTCGGGTCTGATGATTTTTGGGTCAAAACGGCGCTGACTAGACGCATCCGTTAGCCATATCAGCACATAACGGACTCCACTAACGGAGTTGGACGGAGACTAACGGAGAGTGACTCAATATGACCTATTTTAGTAATTGTAATGACCAAATTTGATATTAAATTTTTCTAGTGACTAAACATGACACAATTTAGTAATCACAGTGACCAAATATGGCATTAACCCTGTAAAGAATTAATGGAATATAATTAACTCTGTCAATGAGTATAGAAATGGAAAAGATACCACCCCAAATTGCACATAACTCATATAGTAAATATCTAAATAACGCATGTGAAACTTAAATTCGATTTTTCTTCTATGTGAGAGTTTTAAAATTAATTACAAGACATGAATGGAACTGACAAAAGAAAAATTTAATAAGTTGACATAAAAATAGATTCTGCTACTTATTTATAGTTCTTCCAAAGATCATACTATTAATGTATTGAAAAAGAAACTATTATCCAACCAAGTAATTTCATACCCACATAGAAAATTACCAGACGCAACAACAAACAATGTCAGGCCTCAGGAGGAGTACCGGTAGTTCTGTGGTTACATCAATTCTCGTCATTCTCTGCCTTGCTTCTAAAGGTAACCAAAAAAACAACATTCATCGCCAAATGCACACTCAACCCATAAAGTTTTAACTCTTGATGTAATCCTCTTTCTTACACCCTCGTTTATTGTTATGTTTTTTTTAGGGTTATGCACGTGCAGTGTGAATGATATGCTAATTAAGACGGTGAAGAGCGGGAGAGAGTTCAAAGGACACTCGGAATGGGATGTGACATTCACCAATCGATGCTCTTGTCCTGTTAAGACCATCGTGCTTTCATGTCAAGGATTTCGAAGTGCAAAACCAATTAGTTCATCTTTGCTCAATGTAAATGGAGATCGATGCCTCCTTTACAGCGGCATACAACTCAAAGCTGGAGGATCTCTGTCTTTCTCTTATGCTTGGGATTCTGCTTTCCATTTTACCCCTCTATACATTCTCCCCATGGGTTGTTAGTTGAAATTTTAAAAACCTCTTTGTAGTGGCGGAGCCACAGGGGAGCCAAAAAAGAAGGGAAAATTTTATGGGTTAGTGCTTAGATAATTTATGATTTTGGACCTTAGACCCCTTGAATTTTAGATAAATTCGATTGAGAATTATTGTTTTGGATAAATATACTTGAAGTGAAATACGATCACCCCATTTTAGATCCCGAATATGATGAAAGTTACAAGTCATTCTCATCATTTATGTGGCATTAAAATTTGATTTTTGATTGATAGCAATGGCATATGTTTGAAATGACAAACTCGAATAATTATAGCGTACAATTAAAATAAAAATTATCTTGCTTTCAGACTCCACTTTGATAAATTAGTGACCATGCCAATGCCTCTTTCAACTCACGAAAGTGATATTCGAATAATATGTGCACGTATGTATGAGATATATATTCTATGGTATCCTAGTCAATTCGAGGTACCACCTATCCTTGGAAAATAATATGGTATAAACTTTGATTTGATCAAAATTTGAGGTTTGAATATGATAGACACAAAGTTTCTATCGGGTTTGATATTTGGAGATTAGGGTTTATACGAACAAAATTAGGGATTTGAGAAGAAGAAGATAGGGAATCGAGAAAGAAGAACAGAATCGGCCTAGGCCTCAGAGGGATTTAGAATGAGAATTGAGAGGCTAAAGATTAGGGTTTGGAAGCTTTTCTTTAATATTCTTCTTATTGATTGAATAGATGAATAACAACGTACATATATAGGAAAAGAACCATAAACCCTAACAATTAACCTAATACGACTAAAAGACTAATTACTCTAATATAATTATAATTATAGAAACCGAACGGAAGTTGGTTTCTATCATCCCCTCCCCCTTGAGACCAACCTTGCCCTCAAGGTTGACCAACTCGACCCACTCTTCCCTTTCTTCTCGCACAATCCGCGGTTGACTCCTCCATTTCTTACGCTTCCTTTTCTTCCAATTGTGCTCCACCACTCGAATGATCCCCACTCCAACGACTCCGACTTCAATGGCCTCTTCCCAATCCGTGTGGGTCAAGTTGCAACCATTGCCAAATATCCCTCCATCATCCTTTTCAAACTCCACAAAATAAGAATCATAGAGTTTTTCTTCTTTGAGCCCATCCTCTAAGCTCATGAATTCCTCTTCTATTTCTTCCAAGCCCACACCACCTAAGAGAGACTCAATTAAACAGCCCGATGGAAGCCCAAGTTCTCCTTGCAACCCTGGCCCATCTCGCCCAGTCTCCCCTTACCTGTTGCTAGCATGCTTCCAATTCCATTAACCCCATGCGAGACACATTCCAGCCCAACCCACAACTTGCTATGATAATCCAATTGGGCCCCAACAAGCTCAGCGAAGCCTGCCTCACAAACCAGCCAGCTCTTCCCGCGTCCAAAAAATGGCCCACTCTGTTGATCCTTAGCATGCTCGGGCCCAGTCGCTTGGCCCAAGGAAAAGGTATGCTGCTGTTGCACTCTGCTGCTTCTAGGGTTTGTGAGAAGAAAGCTCCGGCCTGCCGCCTCCGTCGTCGAGTGCTCTCCCGCGTCGACGTCCACAGCTTCCTTCTCCGCCTCGGTCGGCGCTGTCCAGCCACGCGGCACGTCCTCGAGCGCCACCACCGGCGCAGCCGCCGCCGCCACCCCGCACCCTGCCGCCCCGCCGCCAGCACCGATCTCCGCCGACAGTTCGAGCGCCGCCCCTCTCGTGCGCCGCGTCGTGCCCGACGGCTCGGCAACCATCGCGGGCGGATCGGCCGCCTCTGCTGCCGCTGCTGCTGTCCACCCGTGGTCCTGCGCCTCTCGCTTGAGTTCAGAGAGCGTGAACTCGATCAACTGTCTCGTCCGAGCCCATGCTGGATCAGTGAGTTTCGAAGGACTCATGTTGGCTCTGATACCAAATGATAGACACAAAGTTGCTATCGGGTTTGATATTTGGAGATTAGGGTTTATACGAACAGAATTAGGAATTTGAGAAGAAGAAGATAGGGAATCGAGAAAGAAGAACAGAATCGGCCTAGGCCTCAAAGGGATTTAGAATGAGAATTGAGAGGATAGAGATTAGGGTTTGGAAGCTTTTCTTTAATATTCTTCTTATTGATTGAATAGATGAATAACAACGTACATATATAGAAAAAGAACCATAAAACCCTAACAATTAACCTAATACGACTAAAAGACTAATTACTCTAATATAATAATTATTATAGAAACCGAACGGAAGTTGGTTTCTATCAGAATATAATACTCTAAACACTAATGAATTTGGTAAGCCTATTTGCATATTGCAGGTAACCTCTAGGCACTAATGAATAAATCCTAGACCCATATCCTCTAGATTATAAACAATTAGATCAATTTAATTAGAACGATGATCTAAAATCTTGTTTATTGAAAATTCATCCATTGTTACCAATCTAATTATCTAATAGTTTATGATTTAGTTTAAACGTACCTCCTATTAATTCTTCATATATATAGTGTTACTTTATTAAGGATCTCTTGCACCGAAATTCACCACACGCCATAGCATTCCCAAAATTCGTCGTTCTATTTGATGATGATTTCATCGATACTATTTTTCAATTAACATTAATGATAATAACAAATTACTCCATTTTTTCATCATTCAAACATTCATGTAACTCGCAGGACTCAGTTGTTAAAGAACTGTTTTTTTTTGTGATTGTATGTATATGTATTCAGACAACGTTTAGAGGCCAGATCGAATCGTCGTCGAGATTTCGCCGGGATTGGCGGAAGAAGAAAGAGAAGACGAATCGTCATCAGATTTGCCGCAGATAAAAGAATCCGATCAGATTTTTCTGAAAGAAAAAAGAAGATGATGACCCAGACAACGACAAGACGACAGAAGCAAGTTGGCGGCCGGCGATTTCAATTTTTGGCGGCGGCAGCGAGAACCTCCGGCCAATTTCATTCTCTAGGCGGTGGCAGCAAAACCCAGTTGGCAGTTTCAGTCTAATAGTGTCTAAGGGCAAAATTGACTTTTTATTCAAAAACATGGGCGGCAAATAGTAAATATACGAGCGGAAAATAGCAGTTCATGTTTTGTAATTGTTTATGGGGAAAAAGCACTCTTTGTCATCAACCTTCCCCTAACTTTCATTCACATGCTTCCTCAATTATGAGTGGTGATGATGAAGAGAGAATGAGTAATGGCATGGATAACGATAGCCTAACAATAACAAATTATCCCACCAGTTTTTGTGGACTGTCCATTAATGATCCTCTCTGCCTCTCCTGCTGATCCTAACCAACACCCACATCTCCATCTCCTTCTGTTTTGCTGTCAACAACGACAACGAACACATTCAATTATGCCAATAATCACACCTCCTTCTACTTTCCCATGTGGTGGGTTTTTGGAAGGCCGACTTCACCTTTTCCAAACCCCATTCTTACTTGCCTTGCAAGCTAACTGCAGAATGAAAACCGATTGTTCTGTTTTAGTCCTATGATGTGATGAACTATAACTCAGCAGCAGCAGCAGCAGCAGCACTTTCTGTCAGGATGAATCATTCTGCACAACATCGTAGAACATTACCCTGAAGAAGGGAAAAGTTGAAACTGTCTGGCTGTGTTCATTAGACAGATAGATGGTTACGAGAGTGGCATACTGAAGTTAATATTACCTCATCCCATGGACTTTTTGTGCCACCATAAGCTTCTGTCATCCTCTCCCTCCGTTGACATTAAATGTGAAAGGAAGGAGTATGGTTGATAGTATGAAGGAGCTTTAATGTGCACAGCACAGGGAAAGAAGTCTACCCCTGCAAAAGGGTATTCACAGCCCACAACCAGATCTTTTTTACGCTGTGAAATTCTTATTCTTTTCTTCTTCTCAGGTACAGTTGAGAGGAAGGTGGGGCATTTATTGAGCAAACCCGGTGGTGGTGAAGACATTTCCCTTTCAAAGCAGAGAACTGCAAACCACCACACTAGATGATGATGAAGCTGTAAGGGTGAAAACTGAAAACCCCTTCATGTGAGGCCCTTAACTCAGTGTCGGCCATGCTTTGCCAGTTGCCAGCCATTGAATTTCACCGGTGGCCTCTTTCCAATGACATTATATAACTACCACAACCACACCTCTGCTTCTCCATCTCCATTAACCCACATCCCTTCCATCAGAACCAGAGAATACAGAGACAATGCTTCCCCTTCCTCGAGGAGGGGCGCCTCTGTCCCTCGTCTATTCGTTGCTCCTGCTCTTCTCTGCCACTCTCTGCCATGCTCAGAAGACCAGCCAGGTCCTCGTTGGCGCAGGGGAATGTGTCGATTGCGCCAAGTCCGCTCTCAAGCCCAGCCAGGCCTTCTCAGGTACTTAATGTAGAGGTTACTGTTAAGAGTATTGGTAATACGAGCGGTATTATGTTATACTACGAGTACTGTTATGTAAGTGACAGCGTTATGTTCTTGTGTCTTAAAAAATACCATTTTCCATTGTGCAGGGCTTGAGGTGACAATTGACTGCAAGCCACCAAATGGGGAGTTCAAAACTAAGGGCACTGGGAAGCTTGACGCGCAAGGCAAGTTCACTGTGACACTCCCAAGTGACCTAGTGACACTAGATGGGAAGAAGCTTAAAGAAGAATGCTATGCTCAGCTCCACAACCCCGCCGCGGCAGTGCCCTGCGCTGCCCACGGCGGGCTGGATTCGACCAAGGTCGTGTTCAATTCGCAGAAGAACGCGTTCGAGCTGTCCGGCGGGAAGCTCAAGTTCTCGCCGGAAGTTTGCTCGTCGGCGTTCTTCTGGCCTTATTTCAAGCACCCTAAATTGCACCTCCCTCCACTGAAATCATTCCACCACTTTTTCCACTTCCCTCCCCTCCCTCCAAAAGTCTACCCTCCTATCCCGCCGAAGTACACTCACCCGCCGTTGCCGCCGGTCGTCGTGACGCCGGTGCCCAAGCCGCCTTCCGTCCCGAAGCCGGCTCCAAAGCCGCCGGTCGTGGTCAAGCCGCCTTCCGTCCCGAAGCCGGAGCCCAAGCCGCCAGTTGTGGTCAAGCCGTGCCCACCAAAGGCCCCCGTGGTCAAGCCCAAGCCCAAGCCACCAGTCGTGATCAAGCCCAAGCCCAAGCCGCCCGTCGTCAAGCCGTGCCCACCAAAAGCCCCAATCTACAAGCCGCCAGTTGTGGTGAAGCCCACGCCGAAGCCGCCGGTCGTCGAGCCACCGCCGGTCCCGAAGGTGTTGCCGCCGCCGGTGCCGATCTACAAGCCGAAGCCGGAGCCGCCGATTTTCCACAAGCCGCTGCCTCCGATCCCGAAGGTGCCGATCTATAAGCCGACCCCGCATCCGCCGATCTACCACAAGCCGCTGCCGCCGTTTCCGAAGGTGCCGATCTATAAGCCGATCCCCAAGCCGCCGATCACTTTCCCTCCGTTCCCCAAGTTCCCGCCTTTCCACAAGAAGCCCTGCCCGCCGCTGCCCAAGCTGCCTCCGTTCCCCAAGCTGCCTCCCAAGCATAAGTTTGGAAGCTGGCCTCCTCTCCCGCCGTACTCGCCAATTCATTAGATATGTGTGTGGGTTTTCTCTTGATTGATTCTCGATATTATTGTTACTGTTATTTTATTGCTACATGGGAGGTTTTTGAAGTTGAAGCACTGCGAGAAATAAGAAGAATGAACCAGGCTGCAGTGGAGAAGGGAAGACGCAAAGGATTGACATTTGGATTTGTTTTCTTTTAAGGGTTTGTTTGGATATCAATTATTTGTTTCTGCGAAAAAATTCTAGAGTTGTAAATTTGTTATTAGTTATTCCTTTTTTTACTTAATATTACTGCATGTAATGGTGAATTTCTACTTTGTGATATGCTTTTGGATAATTGTGTTGAATGTTTTAATAAATCAATTTCTTATGTTTCATGTCCACATTTTTTATTTCTGTTATGTAATATGAGATGGTTGCATTTGTTGTTTGTTTAAACCCAATTTCACGTTTCTAATGTCTCAAACTAATTATCGTAGGTAACTTAATGGTTACAATGTAAATCTACACATACTATAATACACCGAAGGGAAAAATGGAAGCCCCATTTCAAATTTCCTACAACGAGAGTGAAAGTAGGAAGGACATTTTGGTCTTCACAATTACTTTTTTTTATTCATTAAAAAGACACGTACTGGGATTCGAAATAGGAAGGACATTTTGGTCTTTACAATTACTTTTTTTTATTCATTAAAAAGACACGTACTGGGATTCGAACCATGATCATTTTGAAGAAAAACAACGAACATAACCAATCACACTAAATACATTTGTTGTATCTTTTTAAATTAAAAATATATAATAGCAGGGAGGAAAAAACTCTTCCCCCATTTCAAATTCCCTGCTCCATGAGCATTTGTAGGAAGGGTAGAATAGGAAATGTCAATTTTTTTCTTTTTCCTCTGTGGAACGGGCCAACTTACCGTATACATGCGGATTTAAACGGGTACAGGAGTTTCAATTTTTTTCTTTAAGCTCTTTTATTTCTCCATGGTGATAAAATATATATGAAAAGGCAAAAACAATACTCCTTTTTATTGCTAAAAATAAAAAATTTAACAATAAACTAATGCATGGTATCTAATGGGCTAACTGCTAACCATAAAATAAAAGAGTTGAATGGGCCTGACCTACACGGGATTTAGCCATCAAGTAAAACAAATGAATATCATTGGGTTGTCATTCTAAAAGCGTTTGTAGGAAGGGTAGAATATGGAGTGTCAATTATTTTCTCTTTTCTCTGTGGACAGGCCAAGTTACCATACACATGCGGATTTAAACGGGTACAATACTTCTTTTTATTGCTAAAAATATAAAATTTAACAATAAACTAATGCATGGTATCTAATGGGCTAACCGCTAATCATAAAATAAAAGAGTTGAATGGGTCTGACCTACACAGGATTTGGCCATCAAGTAAAACAAATGAACATCATTGGCTAAAATATAATGTATTTTAAAGTTATTCAATGGTTCAACCTCGACCAACCCAATTAGTCCAATTTTTATCATTTCAAATATATATTATATAATTATTTGATATCGTAATGATCAAATTATAAAGCAAATTAAAATGTATTTTACAGGGAATCGTTTGGTATTTGTTAGTAAAAAACTAAACAGAAAGATCTATTTGGTTATTTTAAACATTAAAACGATCCTAAACATTTTCAGTTCCTTTTGAATTTCTATGGTTTTATTCTCGAATAAGTTATGTGCAAATGGCGAATTGCAGTCATCTCTTTTCTTTCATTATTTTTTATTTTCACATAGAAAGTTTAAAAGTTAAGAATAATTAGAATTGCCAAGGGTCGGTCAAACATGCTTAATTTCAAGTTTTGGCCCGTTTTGATCAAGTCTAATTTATAATCACATGGTTCCCTGATACTCGATAAAAATCTCAATCCAAACCAGTTTGGCAGGTGAGTCCGTGTTTACCACCATTTTCTAGGGATACGACAACGGTGGTTCCTATCCCAAATCCTGTTGTTCGTTCTTGATTTTCTTAGATTTTATCATGGCCTGACAAAAACCAGAAAGCACAATGACGACAAGATAAAAGTTTTATAAAGCAAATTAATCGGCCAACGGGTCGAGTAAAAGCTAACAACGATTGTGAGATGCTAATTTCCGAAAACCTACGAGATAGGCGATTTTTTATTCGATTTTCTGGAATCTGGTTTCTATAAAACTTACTCCACCTCATCATATTACCAGAAACAATATTGTTTCATAAGGTAACAGATACTTGATTTTGGTTCATAAGGCCGATTTTTTATTCGTTGCATCATTCATGTCCTTTTCCTGCTAAAATTCATTATTTTTATCACGTGTTTCCAAAAAAAAAACTATACAATAATAAACGATACACCGCATTACATTATCAAATTTCATACCTCATCTTCCTCCGGTCAACTGGCCGGGGCCACGCTAGTAACATGTAAAATTGTATGAGATTATCGTGTTGCTTCTTTCGTCTCTTGACCACATCCATAACGATGATCATAGTGTTGCTTCTTTCATGTTCCCGACTTTGCTTTGGCGTGAAATGAGCCGCATGGGATGCCATTGTTCAAACATATTTGAAATCTCAAATCGACTACCATTCATATTGTTTGACAAGACAATTTATATCATGTCACTTGAACAATATATTCATAAAAACAGTGAAACTTATTGAATTTGAAACTATTCAAAATCAGAGACATTATGCAAGTAAAAACATATATAATTAGTGACCTACTAATAGAAACCTATCTCTAGGATTCTATCGGTTGGGTTGGGAAATTAGGAATTTAGAGATTTAGAGTTGAATTAGGGATTTAGAAGAGAATTTAGGGAGAATAAGAACAGAATAGCCGGCGGCCAGATTAGGGGGTGAAGAGAGTTTGAGAGGATTAGGTGATATTAGGTTTGAAAGGATACTTTGATAATTCTTTCTTGATTGATTCTCAATAAAACACAAGATACATATTTATATCGAAAGACTCGAACAACCTAATAAACTATCCTAATATGAATCAAATACTACTATCCATATCTAAATAATAATAATAATAATTATTATTATTATTATTATTATATATCCTGAAAATTAGGTTTCTATCGCCTACCACCCACAAACATACATGTAAGTTGTAACCATTTTTCTAAACCGTTGTCCAAACATTTGCATTTCACATTGAACTACAATAAGCAAACATACCGAAACAGAGACAAAAGACACCTACTACATGATAGCACCAATTCCTCAGCACAAACTCGATTTCAGATTTCAGAACCTTAAGAATCATCTAGGTGCCACATTGTGCTATACTGATTTACCCATACAATCCATACAGTAATTAGTCCACTTCAAATCACATAGTGAACAGCAGAGGGAGCAATGAGTGCAATCAAAACTCGCACCTTTTGCAGGCGGGTTTCTTCCTCTGTGTTTCCTAGCAGCAGCTGCTCCTGCTATGCTCATACTATGAATTAGAATGCGCAATATCTGCTTCCTGCTGCGCGCTGCCGTCACAGCGAGCTACGAACGGGTGACTCAGAAGCGAGTCGGCCGTCGCTCGCTTCACACCGCTCGTAACAAAGCATTCCTCCAAGAAATCCCTGCCCTCCGCCGACAAACCCGCCGGAATATCCGGATGCCGGCCCTCGGCGAGTCGCGCCATTACTTCCTCCTTCTCCAAACCCTTCCAAGGCCGCTTCCCTGTGATCATCTCCACCACCGTGCACCCCAGCGCCCAAATATCCATCGCCGTCGTCACCTTCCCCGCCGCCGCAACCTCCGGCGCCATGTATCTAACCGTCCCCCTAATCCCCAACTTCTCCCCTCCACCACTCTGCTTCGAAATTTCCACCGCCGCCCCGAAATCAGCCACCTTAAGCCGACACAACGATTGATGCTCCTCAAATACCAGAATGTTGTCCGTCTTTATGTCGCAGTGCGCGTATCCACGGGAGTGGATGCACCACAGCGCTTCCAGAATCATTCGAGTGCAAACCCTAACATGGATCTCCGGAATCCCGCGGCGGCGCTTGGCGATGAAATTGGAGAGCGAGCCGCCGGAGGCGTACTCGAGGAGCAAGTTGTAGGTTCTGTGCCCGCCGTGCTCGGTTGTTTGGGCGCCGAAGCACTGGATGATGTTGGGATTGTGGCGGAAATTGGTCAGAATCCGGCGCTCCAATTTCAGAGACTCGGCGTCGTATTCGGGCGCGGATTTCACTGCCATCAGAGGGGGCGAATTTGGGGTTTTTGGAATTCCGACGAAGACCTCGCCGTAGCTTCCTTTACCCAGCAATTCCCCTCGAGTCCATTGAATCTCCGACGGCGGCGACGACGGGGGATTTTTATATGGATGGTTTACTACGACGCGCATGTTTGATTGACTGCTGGTTCGAGAGCGCGAATCGGGCAATCAAATTCGAATGGGGTTTTCTGATACAGCTAAATTATACAAGCGGATCGACGGGTACTAATTGTTCTAATCTCTGATGCAAGTAATCGGCATTCTGTGCGCCGCTTTTGTTGTCGGGGACGGAGGCGGAGTGGACTTCTACGGCGGCTTTTATTTTCCGTGCTGGTTTCGGATTACGGAATGAGCTCTATTTGGAGACAGAGTGGGGTTTTTTTCGTCTTCTTCTTTTGAAAATAGCATACAGAAAGAAAAATATATTTACCTTTTTATAGTCGTGCATAATGTTTTGATTAAATATATGATGATAATATTACTTTTACTCTAAAAGGTAGAAAATTCAAATAAATTTAATATATATTCGAGTTGATAGATTAGTTGCCTATTTCTCGATATTACGTTACTAATATTTAAAGAAATACTTAATGTAATATGTGTAGTGACGGACCCAAAAATTTCCATTAAGGGTATTCACCGAAAAATAAATAAATAAATTTAATTCAAAATTTATAATTCATAAAATACATCAATTATGTTGTATAACAGAGCTGTTTCACCATAAAGCTAGACGACGTCGAATTTGTCAAAGAAGTGTGTTTTAAACGAAGAACACAACACTGCGCAGCTGCACCAAGCTACATCGTTTCAAATCTAATCGTCCATCAAAGTCTGCCATCGAGGATCTTCTTCCACATATCATCTCCACTAGGGATGGCAATTTCGATCTGTCCCGTTTTACACGACCTGTTTGACCTGTTTTGGGGCGGGTCCGATCCGTCCCGTAAGCGGGGCGGAGCGGGGCGGGCATGGGTACCTCTCGTTGACCCGACCTGCCCTGACCCGCCCCATTCTCGACCCGTTCTTGTCTAACTACATGTAATCTTAGTAAAATTACTTAGAATTTTCCTCATATTACCTCATATTTTAGCTATAATAAAGTTGTAAATAAGTGAAAATCTCAATTTCTCCAATACTTTAACTACATTTTATCATATTATGGTTTATTTCTTGGTATTTTAATGAAAATAATGTATATATTTAAATTTCTTCACATGAATTACATACCCATTGGGTCAACCTGCCCCGACCCGCGCCCTATGATAAATTACCCGACCTGGACCCGACCTGCCACGGGGCGGGTATGGGTATCGAGATACCTGGCACGAACCTGCCCCATTGCCATTCCTAATCTCCACTCTTCCTCTGCGTTTGTTCATCTGCTCGACATCCTCCTCGTGATTCATCAAAGGGCGGTGCCTCTTCCAAGCCACCTCCCTACCTCAAGATCATGATGACCTGGAGATGACCGTTCCATTCAAATCCTCTCTCAAGAAGCCAACAGGTCCTTACAACGGTCACTAAGCTCCTTTGCCTATAAAATCTAGGGTTTGTAATACTTTTAGACTTGGCAGTTCGCATTAGAAGAATAGGAGAGTGTCTTTTGTTGCCTTGGGTCCAGTTTGTAACTTCAGTAGAACAATCACAGTGTTTTGAACTGGGTGATATGTTCTTGGGAAGTTTGTCTTTGTGTTTGTCAAAGAGCAAATCCGTTGGCTTGGCTCTGAACTTTCTTCTGTGTACTTTTCTTCAAATTCTTATATAAAATAATTTTCTTTTAAAAGGCTGCTTCTTCGTGAAGATCATTTGTTTCACTTGAGAGCATTCTATCCTGCAAAATCAAGTAGTCTGCTGCTTTCTAAGTTCACAATTGGTATCAGAGCAGGTTCTTTGCTAGATTAACTATCACCAAAGAAGATCTGCAAAATGACTGGGTCTTCATCAGCACCTGCATCTTATTCTGCCAAACCAAATCCTCCATGGTTTGATGGGACAGACTATTCTGTCTGGAAGAACAGAATGAAGATCTACCTAAGAGGAGTTGATGGAGATCTATGGAGTATGTTCGAAAAGGACCAGTCCCCATGGAAGAAGATGATGAAGAGAAATGGGAAGATGAGCAGAAGGTATCCTCTCAACTTGACTCAAGAGCAATGCATCTACTTTTCTCAGCACTTTCACCTGAAGAAAGAAACCAAGTGGCACAATGTGAGTCTGCCAAAGAAATTTGGGAGTCTTTACAAACCACTCATGAAGGTACGTCAGAAGTAAAAGAAAGTAGAATTGATGTGCTATTAAATGAGTATGAATCTTTTGAAATGAGTTCAGGAGAGTCCATTTCCAGTATGTACAAGAGATTTAATGATCTAATAAACATATTAAAGGGATTATGGAAAGTGTTTGCTACAAAGGATCTAGTTAGAAAAATTTTGAGAAGCCTACCGAGGGAATGGCTCCCCAAAAGAACTGCTATAGAAGAGGCAAAGGATTTAAATGTTCTATCAATTGAAAGACTAGTAGGATCACTTCTCAATCATGAGGAAGTAATCACTCAAATGAATAAGGAAGATAGTAGGCGCAAAAAGGTGATTGCTTTCAAAGCACAAGAATATGATAGTGATCTAGAATACGAGATAAGTGAAGAGTTTGAAAGAGAATTTGCTCTTGTAAGCAGAAAATTTCACAGAATGTTGAAAATGAAAAGAGAGTTTCAGGCCAATAAAGGCTATCTTGACACTAAAAATAATGAAAATGTTTCTTTAATAACAAGAGAGAAAGGGATGAGAGATTTCTTTTGAAATATTCAGACTAGAATCCATCAAATAAACATTTTCTGGAAAGAAATAAACAACCTATTGACAAAGGATCAGAAATCTGAGAAAGGTATTAAGTCCATTCGAAGTGATAATGGGGGGAATTCATATCTGGACATTTTGGTGAGTTATGTAATGATAGAGGGATAAATCATACATTTTATGCTCCTAGGGGCTAGGACACCTCAGCAAAATGGTGTGGTAGAAAGAAAGAATAGAACTTAATAGAAACAGCTAGGACGATGCTTTTGGAGTATGGATCCCCCAAATTTCTTTGGGGAGAAGCTGTCATGACAGCTGTTTATACAATAAATAGAGTACTGATCAGAAAAACCTTAAACAAAACACCTTATGAAATTCTAAAACAGAAAACACCACACTTAGGATATTTTCATCCTTTTGGATGCAAATGTTTTATCCTAAACACGAAGGATCATTTGTATAAGTTTGATGCTAAGTCTGATCCAGCTATCTTTCTAGGATATTCTATCAAGAGACAGGCTTATAGAATATACAATCTCAAATCAAAAAGAGTAGAGGAATCAGTTTTCGTCAAATTTGATGAATCAATGAACGCTAACAAAGTTAATGTAGAAAGTGTAGATTTTCTATTTCCTGTGACAAAAGAAGTGGAAGAAGATCCAGGAAAGGAGGAAACTTCACAAAAAGAAACAAAAGAAGACAAGAGCACTGATGAAGAAAAGAATGCTCCAGCTCATATTCAGAAGAGACATCCCCATCTCAAATTATTGGAGGACTTCATGACAAGATGCACACCAGAGGTAAGTATAATCCAGGTCAGTATGCCTTTATATCCTTACTCGAACCTAAAAATTACAAAGAAGCTTTAACTGATGATGAATGGATACATGCTATGCAGAACAACTCCTCCAATTTGCTAGACTGAAGGTCCGGGAATTAGTCCCTAGACCAATAGGTAGACTGATAATTGGAACAAAATGGGTGTTTAGAAACAAAACTGATGAACTTGGAACAAGTAACTAAAAATAAAGCGAGGCTAGTGGCTCAAGGATATTCTCAGGAAGAGGGAATTGACTTTGAAGAATCTTTTGCACCAGTTGCCCGTATTGAATCTATTAGACTATTGTGTGCTTATGCAAGTTATATGAAAATTCCCTTATTTCAAATGGATGTAAAAAGTGCTTTCTTAAACGGAGAAATTAAGGAAGAAGTGTATGTAAGTCAACCACCAGGTTTCATTGATCATCAATTTCCAGACCATGTGTTTAAACTAAACAAAGCGCTATATGGATTAAAACAAGCCCGAAGGGCATGGTTTGAAAAACTATCATCATTTCTCACAAGCAAGGGATTTACTCAAGGAAGTGTCGATAAAACTCTATTCATTAAGAAAGAAAAATGAGACACCCTCATTGTACAAGTTTATGTTGACGGCATAGTATTTGGAGAAACAAATCCAGACATGTGCAATAATTTCTGTGAATCAATGAAATCTGTATTTGAAATGAGCATGATGAGAGAACTTTCCTACTTTCTAGGATTACAAATTAAACAAACAAGCTCAGGAATTTTCATTTCTCAAGGAAAATACATAGATTCAATGCTTAAAAGATTTGATTTAAACTCTGTTAGTCCAAGTACAACACCAATGGCTACAAACTTAAAATTAGACAAAGATGAATCTGGACTACCTGTGTGTGAGAGAAAATACAGAGGGATGATTGGCTCACTTCTATACCTAACTGCCAGTAGACCAGATATTCAATACAGTGTAGGTTTATGTGCTAGATTTCCGTCCAAACCAAAAGAAAGCCATCTTAAAGCAGTAAAACGAATTTTTAGATATTTAAAAGGAACTATAGAAGTTGGTTTATGGTATCCTGTCACTGATTCTTTTGAACTTATTGGATATACTGATTTTGATTTTGGAGGGAGTCTAGTAGATAGGAAAAGTACTTTTGGAACCATACAATTTCTTGGACCAGCACTTGTGTCTTGGTTTAGCAAGAAGCAAGGTGCAGTTGCATTATCCACTGCTGAAGCAGAGTATATGGCCGCTGGGAGCTGCTGTGCTCAGCTAATGTGGATGAAATCCCAGTTATTAGATTATGGTTTCAAAATAACAGATATTCCTGTATGCTGTGACAATACAAGTGCTATCTGCATGACAAAAAACCCTGTCCAACACTCCAGAACTAGGCACATTGAGATAAAGTATCACTTCATTCGTGATTTAGTTCAAAATGGAAATGTACTTTTGGAATTTGTTTCAACTGAAGGCCAATTAGCAGACATACTCACTAAGCCTCTTCCTAGCGAACGTTTCTTGCA